TTGCTCCAGAACCTTCACCTCCAACTAAAGGCTTTGCACCTGCAACGAAGAGCTATGCACCTGCACCAGCACCAACCAAACACTCACCTTTACCTCCGAGAAACCTGCCAAACCCGCCATGTCCTTACGAACAGAGGAGACCAAAAGGAAACAATGCTCTAAACCATCACACTGCACCACCAACGCCTGCACCACACCGATCTCAGCCACACGCAACAGCACCAAACCCTACCCCGGCACGACATCATGCCATCCCAGTATCTAGTCCACTTCCACACGTTGTATTTGCTCATATCCCACCTATATCAAAAAGCAGCCCCGAATCAGAACCAACCGGTGAAAAAACTCCCTCACCATCTCCTACTCCATGTAAGTCTTCTCTTTGTTTCTCACTATCCGCATCCATGGATTTGTTGATTCTAAATTCTGTTATATATACAGCTTCTGCGAGCATCGGTCCAACCTTGGAAAGAGTATCATCGAAGCTCGTTTTAATAGTAGCCGTCGTAATCATCTTTCTGTAAAACCAAAAAAAACACGCCGGAAGAAGCTGCTTTTAATGTTCAAGCTGTAGAAAAAATTAGCAGCAGTTCACAAAAGCAGACCTCCTCTGGTCACAACATCAATCAAGGTAATTGTATAAAGGAACCACAAGAGAGGAAAAAATGTATGTATGAAAAATGGAGAGTTTTTTTTTTGTTGTAAAAGTTATGTTGAGGTTTGCAACACAAAAGTGTGTCTTGCACCTAACATCCGAGAGAAGAAAAAAAAGAAACTTATATATAAAAAAAAAAACATTTCTGTTTTTAATTTGTATATAAAGTCATTTTGTTTTAACAGATTGTGCAGTTTTTCACATCTCCCACTCGATATAATACAAGCATCCCTATCGCATGATCTATCTCATTTTTTCTCTTCGTTTTTACTAATTTGGTAGTAGTGAAATTACATAAAAATGATGTTTTCTTGTCAGTTTAAAAAGTGTAGTTAAAGATTAACTTTTTATTTTGGTGACAAACAAACCCAAGAACAGAGTTTTACGTCTCTATTTCTGGCAAA